ACCCCTTCTGTTGCCTTCCCCTCAAGCCCTAAGCTGAAAAAACCTCAACATCCTTTTGTCGGCTGGTGAAGTTCCCCTGTGCGCTGGCCCTGGCCAGGCCTCTCTCCTGGACGAGCCTCCAGGCCATAGGAAGCTCTGCAGGCTGCAGCTCTGGCTCTGGGCTCAAGTCACCAGAGAGGGACTCCCCCGGGTCAGCTTGTCTCTTGACCGTCCTCCATGCTGGCTGCCCACTTCTTCCAGAGGAGGAGATGCTATCGCTGGCTTTGCCCTCCCTTTGCAGAGTCACTGTCTCACCCCACACCCCACTCATTCTTAACCACCGGAAGAGGGGCCTGGAAACCGCTGAGCAGTAGTGTAGGCGCAGCTGGGGCCTCTGACCACGCCCAGGGCTGTGCCCCGCCCCCAGCCCTCCAGCGCTCCTGCAGGACCCCTCACTCTGCCACCAAGCACCGGGCCTCGTGTTGAACTTTTCTGTTCACGCAGGCGTTCCTTGTCTCTCCGTTGGTCTTGTACAGGCTTCTGGGGCAAGACTGAGATCTGGCATCAATCCCAAGACTCAGTCCCTAGTGCTGTCTGTATCCACCCCGCAACCGCAGCCGGCTCCAGCCCATCCCAGCCGGCTCCAGGCACCCTCCTCTCCCACGTGAACCGACTTCAACGACAAGCAACCTCAAGTTCAGAAGCTCTGATCTGAGCTGGGCCCTGAGTGTCCTGGGAGCCCTCGTGTCCCACCCACAGTTTTTCCCATTTTCCCAAGATGTGACTCCAAACCTTCACCCTCTCTGCAGGTCCCATTCCACCATCACAGCCTCTCTCAGCCTACGCCCTCCCCCAGCCACCCGGCCACCAAAATCCCCAAAGTCGGGGATGCTGGTGAGGGGATCCTCAGTGTCAGCTACCTCCCCTCTCCCACACATGGCCACACTGCCTGCGTTGTCGGGTGCTCTGCTCCTGTCCGGCGGGTCCCTCCCCGCAAGCTTGGACGGCCCGCCCCACCAGGTGGCCTGGCCCTGCTCAGTCCTGAGCACATCCCTGACCTTTCTCCAGCTGTCCCTTTCTGCTGGCTGCCCACTCTCACTCCATGTCCCCCACAACTAAAAAACTGTTGCAAAACCCCTGCTTTTCCTCTCGCCTTTCTTCCCCTGTGTCTCCTGCGGCCCTGCAGCAGGCGTCTCTGGTTCTCTGCAGCCAGCGACCAGATTCCACGCGAACCAGCGGGACCGAACCCGCGGGACTGCGCCTCAGTCCTCAGGCCTGGGCCGGGCGGGCGTGGTTTCTGCTGCGTGTGACCGCACAGGCCCGCCTTCCGGAGGGGCTGCGAAGTAACTGTTCTGTCGCACTGACCCTCTGCTGACATTCTCACATGTATACTTTATTTCCTTGAACATAGTAAACATCATTACTTTATTTTAGTTTTCTTTATTGATTGTTTAGCGAGAGAGGGAGGGAGAAGGAGAGAGAGATGGAAACATCGATGAGAGAGAACATGGACTGGCCGCCTCCTGCATGGCCCCCACCGGGGATTAAGCCCCGGCCTGGTGTGGCTCAGAGGCTCAGTGGTTGAGCATGGGCCCTGCACCAAGAGGTCACCAGTTTAATTTCCAGTCAGGGCACGTGCCCAGGTTGTGGGCCCGATCCCCAGTGGGGGCACGCAGGAGGCGGCCAATCCATGTTCTCTCTCATCGATGTTTCTATTTCTCCCTCTCCCTTCTCTCTCTAAAGTCAGTAAAGAAAAGAAAATAAAGTTTTCGATATGCCCTTTGGATCTGCTTCTGTGGCTTGTTTTCTTTGGTTTCTGGATGTGTTTCCTATTGCTTGTTTTTGTTTCAGTTTGAGCACCATATATAAAAGATTTAGGAAATGATTTAATGCTCTGGTTGGTGTATTTTCCTTAAGGAATAGTTTATATCTGCCTCTATTAGGCAGCCCAGTTGGAAGTACTAGAAGGTCTACAGTACTGTAATTCAAGTCAGGGGTAACATGATTCAAAATTGGGTTTGAGTTTTTGTGAGAGCTGGTCGATTTCTTCCTCAGTCTTATCTTAAAATATTTATTTTTTGAGTTTTAGAGAGAGAGAGAGAGAGAGGAAGGGAGAGAGAGAAGCATCGGTTTGTCGTTCCACTCACGGTGTACTCACTGGCTGAGCTGTGTGCCCGGCAGGATCACACCCTCAGCCCTGGTAAAATGGGGCGATGGTTTATCCAGCTGAGCTCTCCAGCCCAGACTCCTGTTCTCTCCTCATTCTTAGTGTGTAACCCCAAGGGGATGCTGGGTGTATCCCCTCCCTGACAGGAGGTCCCTGACTCCTGTTCCCTTGGCCCCCAGAGCGGCTCCCCAAGTCTGCTGAGCTGCTCAGCCTTCCAGCTGCTTTTCCCAGAATCAGAAGCCCCCAGGGCCCTGGCCGGCACAGTCCAGTGGTTGTGGCACCGCCCATGCACCCGAGGCTCGCAGATGTGATTTTCAGTCAAGGGCATGTGCCAGGGTTGCGGGTTTGATCTCTGCCCCGGTTGCAGTGTGTGCATGAAGCAACAAAACGATGTAAGAGTCACATGGATGTTTCCCTGTCCCTCCTCTCTATCTCTCCTTCCTTCTCTCTCTCCCCTCTTCCTCCCTTCCACTTTCTCTAAAATGGGAAATAATGTCCTCAGGTGAGGATTAACCAAAAAAAAAAAAAAAAAAAAAAAGCTACCCTCAGGAAACAGCAATTAAAATGCTGGTCTCACCTGGCTGGTGGCTCAGGGGACTGAGCATGGTCATGTGGACTGAGAGGTCCCTGTTCAATTCCTGGTCAGGGCACGTGCCTGGGTTGCTGGGTCGATCCCCAGTAAGGGGCGTGCAGGAGGCAGCTGATCAGTGTTTCTCACGTTAATGTTTCTGTCTCTCCCTTCCTCTCTAAAAAATCAGTAAGAACATAAAAAAAGAAAAAAAATGCTGTTCTTACCCCTCTGAATTTCCTTCTTTCAGATCCTGGCCTTCATATTTCACTGCTTTCTTAGCTCTCTGATGACTTTAACAACATGCTTTCTAGTTTGCTCATTTTCTCTTATTCTCAGTGGGAGTGTTGGTTAGCATGTTTTTACCTGGTCCTTCATTATCAGAATTAAAATTCCTTAAGGGATTACTTATCTCAGCCAATAAGTGTATGCCTGGCCCAGATCCGATTCTCAGGAGTTAGAAACCTGTCCTGTGCGTGCAGAGGTCCTGACCTCAGGGCTCTGGTTGCAGCGGAGTCTGAACAGCTGACGATGGCAGTGCCTGTCCTTTCTGTGGGTTATTCACTGTTTCCTACTCACCTGTGTACAGGGATCTTAGTGCAGTGTGTGGTGTGCTGGTCTGTTCTCACGGACACAGACAGACGCAGTCTCTGCCCTCGGCTTGGTCATAGACAGATGCTCTTTGAGACGTGGGATCTGAGCAGGAATTCCCTGTGTTTCAACCTCAGGGTGTCCTGATAAAAGGAACACAGTCTCTTGACGAAATAGTAATTATAAGTCCTTTAACTCCTTGGTCAGTGTCTTGCGGGAGTGCTGGGGTGCAGGTGTGACGCCTGGGGACATCTAAAACCCCCTCTCCAGCACTCTTGTCAATCTCTTCACTGACAGATCTGTTGTATCAGTATCCCACCTCCTACTCTCTCTTCCAGATTCTCCTGATCCTCCCCAACCCACCCAGACAGACTTGTTTATGTCCTGCCTGCACTGGGGATGCCATGTGACTCTCCTGCCAAAAGTGGCCCCGGGAACACCCCTTTTCTTCACCGCCGTGCTGGCTGTCCTCCGGTGGACACTGGCGGCAGCTGCTGTCACAGCACAATGTGCCTTATGTTCCCACGCTGTTCCCCGGCAGAAAGGTGCTGTGAGGTGCCTGGGCAGGGTCTTCGTTTCTACCCTTTCTAGTTTCTTTCTATGAAGCAATACTTGTGGGCACCTTTTATTGACAGAAAACTGGCAAACCTTAATGAGGAATGACCACAGGTTGGCCTGCCGACTCTCCAGGGCGGTCTGGAGCCCAGCTCTGTGGGAGGACAGGAGAGGGAGCCGTCAGTTCAGTGTGGAGTGTTCTTACAACTGGGTCTGACAATTCAGAAGTTGTAGCGGTCACCGCTGGCCACCAGTGCCAGAGGGAGGACATCACAGATATGTTTATTTAGAACATTGTAGTTAAGAACTCACCCTCTAGCCTAGCTGGTGTGGCTTAGTGGTCGAGCAACTACCCAGGAACCGAGGCCGGTTCGACTCCCGGTCAGGGCACACGCCCGGATTGCAGGCTCAATCCCCAGTGGTGGTGTGCAGGAGGTGGCCAATTGATGTGTCACATCGATGTTTCTCTCTCTCTCTCTCAAAAAATTTTTAAAAAGGAGTTCACCCTCGCCCTGGCCGGTTTGGCTCAGCGGTTAGAACGTTGGCCTGCGGTCCAGAGAGACCGGGTTCGGTTCCCGCTAAGGGCACGTACCTCGGTTGCGGTTTGTCCCCGGCCCTAGTTGGTCGTGCGGGTGGCAACCACTCGATGTGTCCCTTTCACGTCAATGTTTCTCTCTCTCTCTTCCTCTCTCTCCCTCTCACTCTATCTGAACAAAAAATGGAAAATGTCCTCGGGTGAGAATAAAAAAGAAAAAAGAAAAAAGGAGTTTACCCTCTAAAGCCAAAGTGACTGGGTTGCAAGCTCATTTTGCTCACTGTGTAACTTTGGAGTCACTTGTAACTTTTTTTTAAATCTGCGTCCTCACCTGTAAAATGGGCACAAGAATCTTGTAGGGTCATTGTGAAGTGAATTAGTTAAAACATGTAAAGAATATACAACCTGCCTATCTCATAGCAAGTGCTCACTGTGGGGGGCTGTGGGTTCCTGTAGGGGTGGGGAGAAGGGGTGTTGATAAAAGATGTGTTCAGTCAGCTTCTCGGGCTTGGGGTCCTCAACATGCCCACCCTCTTGGCTTAAGGAAAGTCACATCCAACTGCCCCCAGGCTGAGGCCTGACCCCCTTCCTGCCCGCCCCCCCAGCTGGCTTCTCTTCCCTAGAATCCTTTGATACTGATGAACCGGTGACGGTGACGAGACCCTCGGGAACGTCTCTCCAGCTCCGCCCCAACCACACACAGACTGGTGCGGTCGCTGCGGAATGGAAAGCGGTGCTGCATTCACGGGAACAGAATTCTGTGATAGTCACTTGGAAGAATGTTTCTGGTTCGAACAATGTACATTGGAAGTCGAGTTCTCATTGGAAAAACAGAATCGATTTTAGGACCGAGGACTTCACTCTTTTCATCAATGCATCTCAGCAGCCGGACAGTGGTGTCTACATTCTGGAGGTCACCAGTGAGAGCGGGGTCACTTCGAGACACAAGTTCAACGTTTCTATATTTGGTGAGTGCCCAGGGCAGCTCTCCTGCCCTAGGCCCCTGCAGGGCTTGTTTCCAGTGCCTTCTTGATCAGAATTTTTTTCAATTGTTGAAAGTATTGCAGATGTTCACTCTTCTCCCCCATGGACTCCCTCCTCCCCACTCCCACCCCCTTTCTGCTTTCCCCAACCTAATGTCTGTGCTGATCGGAATTTCTGCTTCCAGACCTTGTTGGGCAGCCACGGCTGGAGGAGCACTGGGAGCCCCTGGACAGAGGGAAGTGCCAGGTGACACTGCTGTGCTTGGTGTCCAGAGGTGGTGACGTGAGCTACACCTGGTACAGAGGGAGGGAGCGGATCGCGACACCGAGAAATCCTTCCAAGCTGGAGGAGCAGATCGTCCCTGACAACAGCTCGCAGATGTACACTTGCAACGTCAGCAACCCTGTCAGCTGGGCAAACCAGACTCTCAAGCTCACCCAGGGCTGTCTGAGTGCCCACCAGAGTGAGTGGCGCGCTGTGGGCTAGGTCAGGGCTGGGCCCATACCCAGGCTCCTGCGCAGGAGATACTGGGCGCTGACGCCCCTGGGCTTGTAGCCCTTCCCCAAGGGGCCATGATTTTCAGGCACACAGGTCCCGTACAGGTCCTGAGTCTGGGGAGAACTTTATCCCCATCAGGAGCCTCCTTCTGGAAGGAGGGCGTCTTTCCTTCACAGAGAAAGCAGAGTCGTTTGGTGAGTGCCAGCCCAGCCCTGGCTGCAGGTTGTTTTCTCCTGTGACTGAGAGACCTGCTTACTCCTCTCTAGGGACACCTGCCCCAAGCCATGTCGCTCCCTTAGAGGACACCTGCCGTACAACTGTGCCCTGGTCATGCAGCTTCAGGGACACCTGGCAGAGTTCTTGGCTTATTGCTTGTGCTTATCCTGAGAGTGACCTGGAGCCAACTTTGCACCACTTTCTACTAGATAAATAAGACTTACTGTAACATCAGCATGGGCAAAAACAACCTGATGTCCCTGTCTTTAAGGAACTTATAGTCGCCCTGGCCAGTTTGGCTCAGCGGTTAGAGCATCGGCCTGCGGTCCGGAGAGGCCCGGGTTCGGTTCCCGCTAAGGGCACGTACTTCGGTTGCAGTTTGTCCCCGGCCCTGGTTGGTCGTGCGGGTGGCAGCCACTTGATGTGTCCCTTCACGTCGATGTTTCTCTCTCTCTCTCCCTTCCTCTCTCTCCCTCCCACTCTATCTGTAAAAAAAAAAAAAAAAAAAAGGAACTTATAGTCAAGCAGGGACAATAAAGTAACTACTCACAGGCAACAAAAAAATGAGCAAGCTGACGCGATGCGGAGACAAGGGCGCTGTCCTCTGGGTCACATCTGCCAGGAGGCATCGTTCACAAACTCTGATTCCAGGCAGATTCGTCAACCTCTAGGACCCACGAGGAGGGGCAGCGAGGGCAGGGCTAGCAGGACGGCAGGAGGGCACACTCGCCTGGCACAAAGCAGACAAATGTTTGCTGAGTTAAAAAGAAAGGAACAGATTGATGTTACAGTTACTGTGCTTTGCATCTATTAGATCCTGTGATTAACCTTCATATGTCGACGACATCGTCTCCTTGTTATAAATGAGAAAACAGAGGCTCAGAGAGGTTGAGGAGGTTGCCTCGGGGTGTGGAGCTTACAGAATCAGAAGCGGAGCCTGTCAGATTCCCGTGCCCTTGGTGGCACTCTGCGGGGGTCATCCAGTTGAGCAGGGGGACGCTTGGTGAACTGCCAGAGTGTGAAGAGACCGGCCACACCAGGAGTGTGGGTGCTGAGCCGGCGCATGTGGGCATGGCGGGGGAAGGCTGAGTCCTCACGCCTGGGCCTTCTGTGCCTGCAGAGCTTGGCCTCCTGCCCCTCTTGGTGATCATCGTGAGCCTCACCACCACCGTGCTCCTCAGCGCCCTCACCTGCTTCTGCGTGTGGAGAAGGAAGAGGCGTAAGTGGAGGGTCCTAGGACGTGCTGCCCACGCGCCGCCCGGTGCTTGGGGGCCTGTGCATGTGGTCAGCAGGGAACGCTGGGCTGCTGGGCCTTTGCTCCCAGGTCTCGCATTCTGCGGTGGCCCCAGGTGTGCACAGTCTGATCCCCAAACTGCATCTTTCGTGGCAGTGCTTGGTTTGGGGGGCCTGTCAGCCGGGCGGCTGCCCCTAAGCAATTTGGGTCTCCTGGGAAGAGCACCAACCTGCTTCCTTTCTAGAACCTTTGTCAAGGTCTCAGGCCACCTGGGTTGACGGTGGGACGGCCAGAAGCTGACTCTGGACAGGATGCCTTCCGGAGGGCTCTGCAACTCTGTTCTTTGCTTCTTTCCTCACACAGAGCCCAGACCAGAGGAATTTCTGACGATTTACCAAGATGTCAACAACCAGTCAACCAGAAGCAATCAAGTATGACCCCCTGTGGGCTGGGGTTTCTCTCAACCAGTGTGAAGAATGTTCTTGGGATGACGGCCATCCGAGCAGGGGACAAAGAGAACCAGTTGCCCTGTCTAAGTGACCTTCCACCACCCCACCTCTCTCCCTCAGTGTCCTGGCTCTGGCCACAGGGAGTGAGAAGATGAAATGGGGCCTAAGGGCATCTTGGTGCAGAACTGAGCCAGCTGAGAAGGGGTGGGGCCACAGGGCAGGATGCTGCCCCGCCTCCCTGGAGGCTCCCTGGGTCCCTGGATCACTGCCCAGCGGGGGAGGATGTCAGCCTGACCAGCCGCAGTCACTGGCTCAGAGGTCTGTGTTCAAACTGGGAAGAAGAGCCTGAGTCTGACTGAGGTGCTGGAGAGGGAGAGACAGCACCAAGGTGATGAGCCAGTCAGGGCTCTGTGGACAGGGCCAACTCTCTGCCGCCCAGCGCTGAAGAGAGGAGGCACCTTGGAGCGGCTGCAGGACCGGGTGGGGTCTTACTGCACTGCCCAGTGGGGGGAGCACAGGGAGGATCTGCCTCCCACCGCCATTCCTGGTGCCTGGCCTGGGGTCGTGGGCTAGGAAACCAGGTGTAGGTCTCGTGGAACAGACAGGACAGGGACGCAGCCCTCAGGGCCCAGGGAGCAGTGAGATATTGGGTGTCTGTCTCTCTCATCAGAACTGTACCCTCATACAAACCACAGCAAGTACAAACACCTACAGCCACAGATGCCCGAATGTGTGCTCAATGTAGCTTCCCCCAGTGCAAGTGACATCAGATGAGGGAGACAAAGGAGAAGAAAATAATTACTTGGAGTAAAAGAAGAAACCTGTTGGGGATTTAGGCCCATTACTGTGCTTCTGAGCCACTGGCCCGTCCCCTCGTGGCCTCGCCCCTCCCACGCTTCTCCCTGCTGTCCCCAAGGTTCTGCCCAAAGCCTCAGCCTCCAGCTTCACATGCTCTCGCCCGGGCCCAGCTGGGCCTTTCTGGAGATACTTCCTGGAGGTCTGGGAAGAAGAGAAAAACGGTCTAGGTTTTTGTACTGGTTTTTGCCAGATGCTCGCGACTCTGCAGCCTCCAAGGACAGCTGGTGTTTCTCTACTTCTCTCGGCTCCTCCCCTGTGTGAGGAGCCCCACCAGAGCCCATCTTGGCCATATACACGGGGGGAAAGCATGAAATACTCCCAGCCCCAGTCTGTGGGAGGACTGAGAGAGGGAAACACTGCCTCTGGCCTCGGCCCCAGGCCTTCAGCCGCACCGCAGCTGCCCAGGAGACTGGCTGGAAGCCCAGGGCAAGCTCACCACCAAGGCTGGATCTAGACAGGGGGCCTGGACACATCCAAAGCCTCTGGATGTCAGTGTCCCTAGGTGAGGCTCAGATGCAGCCTTGCCCAGAGCTCCGGGCCATTATTGGTGGCACACTGAATCAGGAAGTCAGCCAAGGGAAGTTTCTGAGTCACCACAGTGGAGCTGGGGACAGGAGCCTTGGGCAGGGTCACTCGGTGCTGTCCCTTCCCTCCCGACACTAACTTGCAACATGAATTGCTTTTTCTACTGTCTTCCCTGCCCAGGGCGACTGATGACCACTCGCTCTTAGGCTCTTGGGAGCTCCTCTTCTTTGTGTTCTCTCCCCACTGGACCCAAACCCTAAAGACCGAGCTGTCTGCTAACTCACCACATGTTCTTTACCGTTTCTCCTGCAGCAGCAGAGGCAGGAGCAGGGCCCCCCCGAGGAAGGGAGCACCATCTACTCCGTGATCCTGCCCCAGGTACGACTCTGGCTTCTCTGGTCTAGTCCACACCTGTCTGCACAGCTTCCTCATGCCCCACCCCCACCCCTCCAGAAAACCCTCACCCCGTGCCCTGGACTGTTTTGCTCAGCGGTTAGAGCATTGGCCTGCGGTCCAGAGAGACCCTGGTTCGGTTCCCGCTAAAGGGCATGTACCGCGGTTGCAGTTTGTCCCCGGCCCTGGTTGGTCATGCAGGTGGCAGCCACTTGATGTGTCCCTTTTACATCGATGTTTTTCTCTCTCTCTCCTTCCCACTCTATCTGAACAAAAAATAAAAAAATGTCCTTGGGTGAGGATAAAAAACAAAAAACCCTCACACCATTGAATGGCAGAGTGAGACCATGGTGCTCCTGGAGTGGAGGTGGCTTGGCATCAGCTACATGAAATTGGCTGGTCAGACCGAATGGTCTGGGGTCTCCACAGCTGAACACACGGAAGGTCAGAGGCAGGGTGTCTTTTTCCCTGCCGGCCAGCAGGTGTGGCCCAGGTGAAGTTGCAGGAGGAGGAACCTGATTGGGGGGTGGAGGGGGAGGAGAGAAACATGTTGCTGTCTTTTATCATATTATGATGTAACGATAACATTTATTAAGTACAGACTATGTCCATTTTTTAAAGAATCTTCCATAACAGTCTCCTGAAGTAGGTCTAATACAAACCTCCTTCCACAGGTGAGGAATCAGACTTAGAGTTTACTACCGTGCGTGAGGCCACGTAGCTGGGAAGTGGCAAAGTGGAGCCAAATGGTTTCGAGTCTCCACTCCACCTGGTCGCTAACATTCTGGGATTTACCCATAAACTGGGGGGACATCCTCCAACACGGGCTTCCAAGATGCAACCATTGATAGGCTGCACATCTTTTTCTAGGGAAACACTGTCCTCCAATGATGGAAAAGTATTGATAAAAATGACAAAAAAAGAACTTGGACCCGAAGCAACAACCTCTTTAGCTTGGTGGTGCAGCTGCAGCACAAAGCAAACCCTTGGGAGAATGGGGATAGGCTTTAGAGGAAGGTCAGGAAGAAGAGGAGGAGGAGAAAGAGCAGGAGCAGAGAGGAGAGAAAGGGCAGAGAAGAGGTGGGCGGCTCAGCCACTCAGAGCCCCTCTGGGATTCCCGGGAGGGGGTTGCCTCTCCCACTCCCCTTAGGGTAATGGGATTCACTGGGTCCAGTCAAAGAGTCTTAATGAGTCCAAACCTGCAAACATTTTTATGAGGTTATTTCAGCCAAACTGACAATTGCCAGAATTAAAATCTCAGCAGATTGAAAAAAATGCTCTGGAGAATGGCAGTTTTGCACCTTATTTTATACATTAGATAAGAAGAGAGGACATAAGGGTGTCCCATGAAATCCGCTGGTGATAGATTAGGGAGGCGGGAAAAAGCAAAGCAGGGAGATCTCTGGCATTGGATAAAAAGTGAAAGAAATTGACACATAATTCTTTCAATCTTTTATTTATTTATTTATTTATTTATTTATTTATTTTTATCCTCACCCGAGGACATTTTTCCATTTTTTTTTTTTTTGTTCAGGTAGAGTGGGAGGGAGAGAGAGGAACAGAGAAAGAGAGAGAAACATCGATGTGAAAGGAACACATCGAGTGACTGCCACCCGCACAACCGACCAGGGCCGGGGACAAACTGCAACCGAGGTACGCGCCCTTAGCGGGAACCAAACCCGGGTCTCTCAGGACCGCAGGCCGACGCTCTAACCGCTGAGCCAAACCGGCCAGGGCAATCTTTTATTTTTTTAATCCTCACTTGAGGACATTTTTCCATTTTTTGTTCAGATAGAGTGGGAGGGAGAGAGAGAGAGAGAAACATTGATGTAAAAGGGACACATCGAGTGGTTGCCACCCACACGACCCAACCAGGGCCGGGGACAAACTGCAACCGAGGTACGTGCCCTTAGCGGGAACCAAACCTGGGTCTCTCTGGACTGCAGGCCGATGCTCTAACCGCTGAGCCAAACTGGCCAGGGTGACACATACTTCTCATACATTTGTGCATATAGGATAGTTCGTAGTTAACAATTAACATGATAACAGTATCAGTGAGGGGTTCTGTGGTTTCTTGCAAAATCTCAGTGGAAGATTGTGCCCCGAGTGCTTGGGAAGAGATCACTCTGACATTTTGGAGTGTGTAATGAAGATGTGAACAGACAATGGAGCCCTGACTGGTTTCTCAGTGGTTAGAGCATGGGCCACTCCCACCACCCCAAGGGTTTTTTGGGTTCAATTCCCAGTCAAGGGCACATACCTGCGTTGCAGATTCAATGTCTCTCTCACATTGATGTTTCTCTCTCCCTCTCCCCCTCCCTTCTACTCTCTCTGTAAATAAATGAAAGAATATCCTCTGGTGAGGATTAAAAAAACAAACAGGCAGGCTCAGGTAAAGATTGACTTTATTAAGGAAGAAACAAGCCTAGGAGGTTTTAATTTCCGACCATCCTATGTGGTTACCTTAGGTGTCTTGAGACTGGCGGGCCTCCCCTGATCTTGTTGGGTTTAGGATATGCCCCCCCCTTTTTTTCCTTAAATTTTTTTTTCTTTATTGACTTTTAGAGTGAGAGGAAGGGAGAGGACAGAGAGATAGAAACATCAGCGAGAGAGAACATGTAGCCCCTTTTTTGTCTGCAGTTGTCCAGCTCGAGACACATTGTATCCCTGTGAGTGGAATTAGAGATGTTGGTACAGTGAGATTCCTGTTCTGGAGCAGCAGAGAAGGAGGGTGGTTACCTACCTTCCAGAATGCTTGTTTCAGGTCCAGAGACAGGAAGCATATTGCCAAAGGGAGACTGAGATGCTGAGGAAAGAACTTGGGAGTTTGGGTTAAAATTCTGCTTCTACTGTGAACACCATGACTTGGGTTATTTACCTTTGTTGAAAAAAAAATTTCCTTATTGATTTTTGGAGAGAGAGGAAGGAAGAGAAAGAAAGAGATAGAAACATTGATGAGAGAGAACGTCAATTGGCCGCCTCCTGCATGCCCCTCCCTGGGGATTTGGCCCACAACCTGGGCATGTGCCCTGACTGGGAATCGAACCGGCGACCTCTTGGTGCATGGGTCGATGCTCAACCACTGAGCCACACCGGCTGGGCTATTTACCTTTTTTGAACCTCATCTGTAGAATGAGGCAAATTATGGTCATTCCTGTCGTATAAGAGTGTTATAAAGATCAGGAGAATATACAGGTACAGAGTGTGTGTCGAGAAGTAGTGACTGTCTTTAATAGCAGAGGGACGAGCATGCATCCTGCCCAACCTCCCGACTCGTCCAGGGCTCTTTGCACTAACACTTACTCTCTGGGCAGGGTTGTGGGGGATGGGCGGAAGAGATCGTTCCCTCCCTGGGGTTGTGCTAGATTTATGCTTCTGAAATGATTTTATTTCTCTTCTCATTAGTGTTCTGCTTCCACATCACAAGAAAATGAAAATATGACGTTATACTCAGTGGTGCTGCCTTCCCAGAAGGTGAGTCTCCTCCTTCAGGTGTGCAATTGAAGCAGGTGTCTATTTTGTTTTTTCCCCCAATTAAAAAAAAATTTTTTTTTTAAATCCTCACCAGAGGACATTTTTCCATTTTTTGTTCAGATAGAGTGGGAGGGAGAGTGAGAGAGAAACATCGACATGAAAGGAACACATTGTGGTTGCCAGTCACACGACCCAACCAGGGCCAGGGACAAACTGCTACCGAGGTACGTGCCCTCAGCAGGAACCGAACCCGGGTCTCTCTGGACTGCAGGCTGTTGCTCTAACTGCTGAGCCCAACTGGCCAGGGCTTTTCCCCCCCAGATTTTTTTTTTTTTTATCCTCACCCGAGGACATTTTTCGATATTTTGTTCAGATAGAGTGAGAGGGAGAGAGAGAGAGAGAAACATCGACTTGAGAGCGACACATCGAGTGGTTGCCACCCACACGACCCAACCAGGGCTGGGGACAAACTGCTACCAAGGTACGTGCCCTCAGCAGGAACCGAACCCGGGTCTCTCCGGACCGCAGGCCAACGCTCTAACCGCTGAGCCAAACCGGCCAGGGCTCCCCAGTTTTTATAAATTTATTTTTGTGACAGATGTTTCTCCTTTACCACCCCTAGACCCCCTCCTCTCCATCCCAACCCCCTCCACCCCCCAGCATTGTTGTCTATGCACATCGGTGATGCATACATGCATATAAGTTCTTTGGTTCAACTCATCCATCCCCCCACCCCCCTACTCTGAGGTTTGTCGGTCTGAACCATACTCCTTTCTATGTCTCTGGGTTTATTTCATTCATCAGCCCACCTTGTTCACTATATTCCACAAATAAGTGAGATCATGTGGTATTTGTCTTTCTCTGATTGTCTTATTTAGCTTAGTATAATACTCTCGAGGTCCCTCCATGTCGTCTCAAAGGATAAGAGATCGTTCTTTCTTTTCTTTTTTTAAAACGTATCTTTATTGTTGAATGCATTACAGATGTTGCTCCTTTTTCCCCCATTGACCCCTCACCACTCCTGCCCCCCTCCTGCCTTTCCCCACACTGTTGTCTGTGTCCATTGGTTACGCATATAAGTTCTTTGGTTTATTTCTTCCCACCTTTAACCCCCTTTCCCTTTGAGGTTTGTCAGTCTAGCAACCAATTTGTACTTCTTAATCCCTTCACCTTTTTCACTCATTCCCCAACCCCCTTCCCTTCTGGCAACCAACAAAATGTTCTCTGTATCTATGAGAATGTTTCTGTTTTGCCTGTTCATTTTGTTTGTATATTCAATTATTGATAGATATGTATTCATTGCCATTTTGTTCATATTTTTTATCCTTTTCTTCAAGAAGACCCTTCAACATTTCATATAATAATGGTTTGGTGGTGATGAACTCCTTTAGCTTTTCCTTCTCTGGGAAACTCTATGCCATTGATTCTAAATGATATCTTTGCAGGACAGAGTGATCTTGGTTGTAGGTTCTTGCTTTTCATCACTCTGAAAATTTCTTGCAACTCCCTTCTGGCCTGCAAAGATTCTTTTGAGAAATCAGCTGACAGTCTAATGGGAACGCCCTTGTAGGTAACTATCTGCTTTTCTTTTGCTGCTTTGAAGACTCTCTCTTTGTCCTGAACCTTTTGCATTTTAATGATGATGTGTCTTAGTGTGGGCCTCTTGGGGGTCATCTTGTTTGGGACTCTCTGTGCATCCTGGACTTGTATCTCTTTCCTTCACCGAGTTAGGGAAGTTTTCAGCCATTATTGCTTCAAATAGGTTTTCGATTTATTGTTCTCTCTTTCTTCCTCTTCTGGCACCCCCAAAATGCCAATGTTGGTATGCTTGAAGTTGTCCCAGAGGCTCCTTACACTATCCTCATTTTTTTGGATTCTTTTTTCTTTTTGCTGTTCTGATTGGGTGTTTTTTGCTTCCTTATATTCCAAATCGATGGTTTGCTTCTTGGCTTTACCTACTCTACTATTGATTCCCTGTAACTTATTTATTTCAGTTAGTGCATCCTTTATTTCTGACTGGTTCTTTTTTAAGCTCTTGAGGCCCTGACTAAGTTCGCTGAGGTTCTCACTAAGTTCATTGAGCATCCTTCTAAGCAGTGTTTTGAACTCAGCGTGTGTTAGGTTGCTTATCCCCATTTCGCTTAGTTCTCTTCCTGGAGTTTTGTTCGGTTCTTTCATTTGGGGCCTGTTTCTTTGTCTTCTCATTTTGGCTGCCTCCCTGTGTTTGTTTCTATGTGTTACTTAACAAGAGGTATGGGTCTAGCTGAGACCAGATGCTGCTTGTTTGAAAGAATTTAGGAAAACCTGAAGCAGAATTCAAGACAGGCCAATCCTATGGTAAAGCAACTGGCAACTGCTTGGGTGGGCCTGAAAGTTGGGTGGGGCAGGGCCTCAGGAAATCACCAGGGCGGGGCAACCAGTGTGAGCCAGGTTGCTGGAGTCCCAGATATGGCAGCTGTTTGCCACCTCCGGGAAGGGCTCACCAAAGGAACAAAGGCCTCTTACAGCCCATCTGTCCTGGAGAAAGCCCCCTCTCCAGCCCTTGCTTCAGTGCCAAACAGCTCAGTTCTTCCCTGTATGTCTCTGGCGCCCTTGGAGCTGCTTCCCCTTCGAGCTTAGAGGGAGTGAGTCTGATAAGTTCGTGCACGGGCTCTTTAAGAGGAGCTGCCTGGAGCTGCAGCCGCCTCAGCCTCTTTGTGCCTCAGTTCCAGTTGTTTTTTCTAGCCAGAAGTTATGGGAATTCTCTTCCTGGTACTGGAACCCTGAGCGGGGCGCCTGGTGTGGGACAGGGACCCCTCCGTCCTCAGGGAGGACCTTCCCAGCTGAGGTGTCCTCCTGATTTTTATCCACCACAGGTGGGTGTGGGACCAGCCCCTCCGCCTCCGCCCCTCCTACCAGTCTTGATGTGGCTTCTTCTTTGATTCTGTAGTTGTAGGACTTTCATTCAGCTTGATTTCAGGCGGCTTTGAATGATGGTTGTTCTGTAGTTTAGTTGTAACTTTGATGTGGTTGTTGGATGACGAACACCCATTTACCTGCCCGCCATCCTGACTGGTAGTCCCAGATCTTTCTTTCTTACAGCTGCATAGTACTCCATTGTGCACATGTACCACAGCTTTTTAATCCACTCATCTATTGATGGACACTTGTGCTTTTTCCAGATCTTAGCAATTGTAAATAGTGCTGCTATAAACATAGGGGTACATATATTCTGACCCGTCCCGCAGGTCGAGCAACGAGGACTCTAGAGGGGGAGTGAGGATGAGGAGGGACAAGAGACACGAGAAATGGAGACAAGACAGGAGTCTGATCAAGTCTCGTTTATTCTGGGGAAATTTACACAATATATAGGGCAGGAAAAACAAGATCATTTGTTATCAAGCGATAGTTATTGAGTAACCACCCCAAGCACGGGTGGAACAAAAGACTGAGTAAATGGTTCAAAATGCAGAGATAAAGCAGAGATATCCTGCCTTGGGGCAGAAGATGGCAGAGCAGATTTTACTTAAAGAAATGTAGAGATAAAGAAATGCAGGCCAGTTTGGCTCAGTGGTTAAAGCGTCGGCCTGCGGTACAGAGAGACCCGGGTTCGGTTCCCGCTAAGGGCATGTACTTCGGTTGCAGTTTGTCCCCGGCCCTGGTTGGTCGTGCGGGTGGCAGCCACTCGATGTGTCCCTTCACGGCGATGTTTCTCTCTCTCTCTCCCTTCCTCTCTCTCCCTCCCACTCTATCTGTACAAAAAATGGAAAAATATCCTCGGGTGAGGATAAAAAAAAAAAAAAAATGTTTAGCCCTGGCTGGTTTGGCTCAGCGGTTAGAGCATCGGCCTGCGGTCCAGAGAGACCTGGGTTCGGTTCCCGCTAAGGGCACGTACCTCGGTTGCAGTTTGTCCCCGGCCCTGGTTGGTCGTGCGGGTGGCAGCCACTCGATGTGTCCCTTTCACGTCGATGTTTCTCTCTCTCTCTTCCTCTCTCTCCCTCCCACTCTGTCTGAACAAAAATGAAAAATGTCCTCAGGTAAGGATAAAAAAAAAAAAAAAAAAAAAAAAAAAAAAGAAATGCAGAAGGCAGAGATATCCTGCCTTGGGGAAGGTGATGGCAGAGCAGATTTTAACAAAATGGATGCCGTGCAAAATGTCTCCCACAATATTCTTTCTGATTGGTGTTTCAGGCTTCTTAGGATATATTCCTAGAAATGGGATCACTAGGTCAAATGGCAGATCAATTTTTAATTTTTTGAGAAAACACCATACTGTTTTCCATAGTGGCTGCACCAGTCTGCATTCCCACCAGCAGTGCACTAGAGTCCCCTTTTCTCCATCACGTGTTGTTTGATGATTTGTTGATGGTGGCCATTCTGGCAGGTGTGAGGCCATACCTCATACTTGTTTTAATTTGCAACTCTCTGGTGATTAGTGATGTTGAGCATTTTTTTATATGTCTCTTGGCCATTTGTATGTCTTGTTTGGAGAGGTGTCTCTTTAGGTCCTCTGCCCATTTTTAGGTTGTGTTCTTTGTCTTCCTTTTGTTGTGTTGTATGAGCACGCTGTAGATATCTTTTAAATACATTTGATCTAGTGCATTATTTAGAGTCTCTGTTTCCTTACTAATTTTTTGTCTAGAGGATCTATCCAGTGATGTCAACAGGGTTTTGAGGTCCCCTGCTATGATTGTATTGCTGTTGATTTCTCCTTTGAAGTCCTCCAGAAGATTTTTAATATATTTTAATGCTCCTATATTTGGTGCATATATGTTTACCAAGGTTGTATCTTCTTGTTGGATAGATCCTTTATATATATATTTTTTACCCTTTTCCATCTTTTGTTCAGATAGAGTGGGGTGAAGAGAGAGGGAGGGAGGGAGGGGGAGAGAGAGAGAGAGAGAGAGAGAGAGAGAGAGAGAGAGAGAGAAACATCAACATGAAAGGGACACATTGAGTGGCTGCCACCTGCACGACCAACCAGGGACAGGGAGAAACTGCAACCGAGGTACATGCCCTTAGCGGGAACCAAACTCGGGTCTCTCTGGATTGCAGGCCGATGCTCTAACCACTGAGCCTAACTGGCCAGGGCCCTTTCAATATTATGTAGTGGCCTTCTTTGTCTCTTGTTATGACCTTCATTTTGAAATCTATTTTATCAGATATGAGTATTGCTACTCTAGCTTTTTTTCCCCTTTCCATTTGCCTGGAAGATTTTTTTCCATTTCTTCACTTTCAACCTATGTGAGTCTTTTGTTGTGAGGTGGGTCTCTTGTAAACAACATATATGTGAGTCATGCTTTCTTATCCAGTCAGCTACTCTGTGTCTTTTGATCGAAGTGTTCAATTTATTTACATTTAAGGTAATTATTGATATGTACTTATTTATTGCCATTTTTGTTTATTGTGGTTGTATTTTTCTTCCTATTTTTTCTACTAATTACAGCAGTCCTTTAAACATTTCTTGCAGTGCTGGTTTGATGCTAAAATATTCCCTTAGCCATTTTTTTTGTCTGGGAAGCTCCTTATTTGAACTTCTATTTTGAATGACAGCCTTGCTAGATAGAGTAGTCTTGGATTCAGATCCTTGTTTTTCATGACCTTGATTACTCCATGCCACTCCCTTCTGGCCTGTTGTGTTTCTGTTAAGAAGTCAGCTGAGAGCCTTATGGGGTTTCCTTTGTAGGTAACTTGTTGCTTATCTCTTGCTGCCTTTAGGATTCTCTCTTTGTCTTTAATTTTTGGCATTTTGATTACTATGTGTCTTGGTGTGGGCCTGTTTGGGTTCTTCTTACTTGGGGCTCTCTGTGCTTCTTGAACTTGAATGACTTCTTCCTTCACCAAATTAGGGAAGTTTTCTGTCACTATTTCTTGGAATATATTCTCTAACCCTTGTTCATTTTCTTCTTCTTCTGGAACCCCTGTGGTGAAAGAAGCTGGGGAGGTCTCCAGTGCATGGGCGTGTGGCCTGAGCTGCAGGGCTCCAGTGGAGCCTGAGAGACACAGTGCTGATCTTCAGGGAACCTCATCAGTGACCGTAAATCCTGATCCCAGCTGGGCTCACAGCTCTTATGTGTGCCTGGAACTGTAGACCTGGGTCTTCTGGGCCCAATATTATCTTTTTATTTCATTTAAAAATTTTTCTTTATTGATTTTAGAGAGAGAGAAAGGGAGAGGGAGAGCTATAAACATTGATTGGCTGCCTCCTGCATTTTCCCCACTGGGATCTGGCCTACAACCTGGGCATGTGTCCTGCCAGGAATCCAACTGGCGATCTCTTGGTGCAGAGTCGATGCTCAGCCACTGAGCTGCACCGGCTGGGCACCTAATGTCATATTTTCAACTCAGTGGGAGAGGGTGAAAAGAATGATATTCCCAAGGCTGGAGTCACAGTACAAGTCCATAAGCTTAGCATGGTCATATGGGAAGCAGGGAATCTGTCTCACTGGGAAGTGTGGAGTTCAAGCTGTTCTAGGATACTGTGTTTGCATCAAATGGGGGAGAAGTTTAGAACAAATTTTTCAAAATTCTCATTCACCCCTTTTCAATAAGTCATTCAGACAAATTGGATTGTACCATGAGAGAGATTTAGATCCATATGCTATGCTACACGGTCATGCTGGTTGTCACCAGCACTATGGTCACAGGCTTTGGTTTTATATTCTGAAGACTCTTCAGCTACTGAAAGAGCTTCTGAACTCCAGTAGGTTTGTGTGCATGTATGTGTGTGCACGTGCGCACGTGTGTGTATGTGTGCGTGTATGTGTGTATGTATGTGTGTGCGTGCCTGTGTGTAGCACATGCGTGTGTGTGCGCTCACATGTGCTATGCATTGAACCTATACATGGTTTGTGACCATGTTTGAATTAGGTTTGTCTGAAGGCTGGAAATGTGTGTATGTGTGGTCTGACGAGTGTGGGGCTGTGGGAGCTGACCTCTGATTTTGTTTTGTCAAATCATAGGCAAGTATGTGATAACCTTCTCTGGAAACCATAAACACCGTTGTTTACTGCTGGGGTAGGAGGTTCTGGTTGGGGACTTCAGGGACTTTCTGGGCACTGAGTATCTTGTGGAACCTCTCACACCAGTTATGGACAGGACATTTCTTAGCCTGAAGTTAAGCATCCTTTACCCTCTGAATTTCAGTCTGGATCCAAGAAGAAGCAGCACAGCCCTTCCGTTATTAGCACGATCTATGGAGAGGTAAGATTCTGAAACAACTTCTGCATGGGCTCAGTGCCCATAGCACTGGGAAGTTGTGCACTTGCGCAAGTTGTCCAGAGGCTCAAAATGGTTGGGATTTTAGGCATATTCTAATTCAAATTCAAATTTCAGAGATGAAGAAACCGAGGTCCACGGAGAGTGAGTGTCTAACCCAAGATCATATGATGTTTTGGGGTTTGACTGTTATTGAGGACCTCAAGTTGCAAATTAGGGCCATCCCAGGCTAGACACTTCCTTTCACAGTGTTGGTGGGGGTGAGGGGGACCGAGAAGGGAGGAGTAGTGAGTCTAAATGATTTTCTAACGTTAACAAGTAATTGAGAGTCACTCCACAGCAGGCGATCTTAAGCTGCTTCTGGGATGGATACTCTACAAAGGTGCCCCGAGCATGGTGGCCGACTTGACTTTCCTCAGACCACTCAGGGGATGGGAAGCAGGGACTCCACATTTATTAAAGGTTTCTCATGTATATGGTGGCCTGACAGTGGCTTCATATGAATTATCTCTTTTAATCTCCACAGAATGTGTGGAGGAGGCATCATTATACTGCCCATTCATACCTACAGGAGAGCACCCCCGCTCACTCCCGAATAGCCTCCTACTGCACCCGAACTTCCACGTGTGACCTAATAACCATGTTGCCATTGGTCCCAAGGGGGGTGTGCTTGTTGGGTTTCTTGGCATTTTGAGTGTCGCTCCACATTAAAGCTAACTGGACAGTCCAGAGTTGCAGAGGGCTCTGTATAGTCCAAAGCAATCTAGGGGGTCACAAGGAAGCCCCATGGTGTGGCTAAAAAAACACTAGACTTGGAGCCAGAAGAATTGGACTTAAGCCCCTTCTGTATTTCAATCGGTTGCTCTGAGCTTCATTTTCTTAACCTGTAATATGGGATAACAGTCCATCTCCCACAGGGCTGTCCTAGGTTCTCCGAGTGAGAGTGTGTGGACTTTGCTTTGTTCGCAGGTTGGAAAGGTACAAACCAAAGCTCAGAACCCTGCTTGACTGTACTGCGAGGAGCTGGAGAGCGTTTGTTGAAATCCCAGTGGCTGGGGACTCCGCACCTCTGTTACAGACCAGCATTTGATTTGGGAACCAGTGCAACAGATGATACCACACAAGTCTCTACAGAATTGTTCCTAGTTCGAGCATTTGTTCATGGACTATGTTTTGTTTTGAAAATGATATATAACAGCCATTAAAAGAGCAAGGCATGTTGGCTGGTATGGCTCAGTGGTTGAGCGTCGACCCTGCACCAAGAGGTCACCAGTTTGATTCCCGGTCAGGGCACAAGCCCAGGTTGTGGGTCAGATCCCCAGTGGGGGGCATGCAGGAGGCGGCCAGTTGATGTTCTCTCTCATTAAGTTTTCTATCTCTCTCTCCCTCTACTTCCTCTCCCTCTAAAATCAATAAAGGAAAATAAATAAAAGAGCAAGGCACCCTGGCCAGCATGGCGTGGTTGGTTGGGCATCGTTTCGTTCACAGAGGGGTTGTGGGTTTGATTCCTGTTCAGGGCAGGTGCCCTGGTTGTGGGCTCAATGCCCAGTAAGGGGTGTGCAGGAGGCAGCTGATTGGCGTTTCTATCATTCCCTCTCCCTGAAATAAGTAACATATTTTTAAAAGGAAATAGATACAAAATAAAGTACAATAAAAAATTAAAAAGCAAACAAACAAAAAAACAAGGTTGTTGCCCTGGCTGGGTAGCTCGGTTGGTGAGACCATTGTCCCAATACCCAAGGTTGAGGGTTTGATCCCTGATCAGGTCATGAACAAGACTCAGTCAATATGTATATATAAACAAATGGAACAACAAACCGATGTCTCTCTCTCTCTCTCTCTCTCTCTCTCTCTCTCTCTCTCTCTCTCTCAGTTGGGCGTTGCCCCAGGCACCAGGAGGTTGCAGGTTAGATTCCTGCTCAGGGCACATGCCTGGTTGCAGCTGGATGACCAGTGGGGGGCATGCAGGAGGCAACTGATCAGTGTTGTGTTCTCACACCGATGTTTCTCTCTCTCTCCCTGTCCCTTCCATTCTCTCTAAAAATCAAATGGTTTTTCTAGGTCATGGAAACCCAAGGCCAGTGCCTCACTTAGACTGATTAGAGGTCCTTGAAGGCTTAGTTTAAGCCCTAATTCCATTCTAATGGCTCAAAAACAGGTCCTTTGATAGCCTCATAAAAAGGCTTAGCTATCAGCCTGAACCTGGGGATCCAGCTTCCACAGAAACCATCATTCTTCAAAACAATTTTTAATTGTTTTTGTTTTTGTCTTGGGGATTGTCAGTCTGTACCCTACTTTCACATCTCTGGGTCTACCCAGTTCCTCAGACTGTCAAAAACATGACATTTTAATTATTTTATTTATTAAAAAATTGTTTTCCCTTTATTGATTTCAAAGAGAGAGTGAGAGGGAGAGAGAGAAACATTGATGAGAGAGAACATTGATTGGCCACCTCCTGCATGCCCCTACCCACCCCCAAATTTTAAAAGTATATTCACGCCTGCCTGGCATGGCTCAGTGAATTGAGCATCGTCCCCTGCCTGAGAGGTCCCGGCTAGATTCCTGGTTGGGGCACATGCCCAGGTTGCAGGAGGCAGGCAATCGATGCTTCTCCCTCACATCGATGTTTCTATCTCTTCCTTCCTCTCTGTGTAAGGAAGCAATAAAAAACATATTAAAAATACTTTAAAAAGCCCTGGCTGGTTTGGCTCAGCGGTTAGAGCATCAACCCGCAGAGCAATGAGTTTCAAGTTTGATTCTGGTCAAGGGCATGTACCTCAGTTGCAGTTCATCCCACTGAGCCACACCAGCTGGGCTACAGTACATTTTTTTTTTTTTTTTTTAATCCTCATTCGAGGACATTTTTCCATTTTTTGTACAGACAGAGTGGGAGGGAGAGAGAGAGAGGGAAACATCGATGTGAAAGGGACACATCGAGTGGCTGCCACCCGCACGACCAACCAGGGCTGGGGACAAACTGCAACTGAGGTACATGCCCTTAGCGGGAACCGAACCCGGGTCTCTCAGGACCGCAGGTGGACGCTCCAACCGCTGAGCCAAACCGGCCAGGGCTACAGTACATTTTTATATCTGGTTGGGCTAGCGCCTGTTTATTATTTTACTTTTTCAGATTTGTTCTGCACATCGTAGGTGCTTATCTGCATCCGTTCCTTGTATTCACTGCCTGCCTGTTCACCCTTATGTCAACCTCATGACAATGTAAAGTGTCTGCACACATTACAGAATGTCCCTGGGAAAAAAATTGCTTCTGGTTGAAAAATACTGACCTTGAAGATTTGATAATTTTTGGAACCTGAATGATCTGGTGTAGGAATGTAGAACTGTTTTCCTCCCTCAAATGTAGGGAGTGAACTCTCAGAGAATTGAGGACTATTGCAGAATTTCACCCATGGATGGCAATTTAGGACCACAGTGCTTTCCTGTACTGTTCCTAATTTTTCACTGTATTGTTATGGGAGAAGATATTTCTTTATATTCTGGGTTTTATAGTGAGGGCATGTTGAATGAGTCAGCTCTGGAGCGACCAGCTCTTATGCTTGGTTGACAGTTTGACTTTCTCATCTGCTTTTTATAGGCTTCTCAATGAACAGGTGGCCGAAGGGAACAGGTGAGACAGGGAGCAGGTAGAAGTTGTAGGGGTCAGAGGAGCCTCGTAGATTAGTCTTGGATTCAGATCCTTGTTTTTCATGACCTTAATTACCTCATGCCATTCCCTTCTGGCCTGTAGTGTTTCTGTTGAGAAGTCAGCTGAAGCCTTATGGGGTTTATTTTGTAGGTAACCTGTTGCTTATCTCTTACTGCTGTTAGGATTCTCTCTTTGTCTTTAATTTTTGGCATTTTAATTACTATGTGTCCTGGTGTGGGCCTGTTTGGGTTCTTCTTACTTGGGGCTCTCTGTGCTTCTTGAACTTGAATGACTTCTTTCTTCACCAAATTAGGGAAGTTTTCTGTCACTATTTCTTGGAATATATTCTCTAACCCTTGCTCATTTTCTTCTTCTTCCAGGACTCCTATGATGCAAATATTATTACGTTTCAAGTTGTCCCACAGTTCTCTTAAACTGCCTTCCTGTTTTTTAATAGTTTTTTCCTTTTGGTTTTCTGATTGGTTGATTTTTTCTACCCTGTCTTCTAATTCACTGATTCTGTCCTCAGCTTCCTCTACTCTGCTGTTTAGACCTTCCAATGTGTTCTTTACTTCTGATATGTCATCCTTGATCTCTTCCTGGTGGTTTTTAATTTACAATTGGTTTATTTTCAGCATCTCTATGTCTTTACTCTTGCTGTTGAGCTTCCTCAAGATCATGGCTCTGAATTGTAGCTCTGTTAACATGCCTAACTGCTCCACATTGATATCATCTTCGGTGGAGGTCTCTTGTTCTTTCATTTGGCTTTTGTTTCTGTGTTTCACCATTTTGGCTATCACAGTGGGCTTTGGAGCCTGCCAAGTTTTCCCTGTGGGTATTGGTGTTCTGCTATTTGTGGCTCCCTCTTCTGGGTCTAGATGAGTGAGGGAGGAACCACGTTAAACACCACTGTCAAGTCTTACTTTCTCGGTTAGAGTTGCTAGCCCAGGAATGGTACTGTTATCCTCTAGCTTTTTGCCTGGAGGCTAGCAGTCCAGGTAACTTGAAGACTTTTGGGTTGTCAGTTGATTGAAAAACTCCCTCAGGTGCTCAGCATAAGGGGATTTCCTGAGTGTGGGGCAGATGCTGGTTGTTAATGGGTCTCAATTTGCATTTCAATGGCCCACAGGGTGGGGTTGAATCTCTGAGGGAGGGGCTGCTGCCTCTCCTCAGAGCCCTGGGAAGGAGCAATGTGGCCACTGTCCTGTGCGGCTGCAACTGAGCAAAAGCTCTGAGTGCCCTCCGAAATCCCGAGTGTCCCCACACAGTTCCGGTCCAGTCTGCCCTCCCTCTGCCAGAGCCCAAGGTGAGTGGCTGTGGCTGTTTTAGCGTCTGTCCTGGCTCTGCCCTGTGGAGCCGCCTGGGAGTGTGACCCGAGGGCTCCGCTCCCAGCTAAGGCCGCTGCCCAGCTTCCGACCCTGGGCTCCCAGCAATCCTACCAGGATCTAGTCAGTGTCCCTGGTTATATGGTCCTCGCAAACAGCTTTTCTGTTGCCTGTTCCTATCGATTTGTCTGTGTTTTCTTTGTAATTCCAGTTTGGTCCTGGGAGACGGTCTGTGTAGCTTCTGTTCACTCCGCCGCCATTTTGGAATTCTCCACAAATGTATTGTGTAAAAATTTTCTCCCAGGGTATGGCTTCTTTTTTTATTCTTTGAAGAAGTTATTTTGCAGATCATTTTTTAATTTATAAAGTCTACATGATTGCCCTGGCCAGTTTGGCTCAGCGGTTAGAGTGTTGGCCCGTGGACCAGAGAGTCCTGGGTTCGGTTCCTGCTAAGAGCACGTACCTCGGTTGCAGTTTATCCCCGGCCTGGGTTGGGGTCGTGTGGGTGGCAGCTAGTTGATGTGTCTCTCTCACATCAATGTTTCTCTCTATCTCTTCCCCCCTCTCTCCCTCCCGCTCTGTCTGAAGATGAATGCAAAAATGTCCTGGGGGAGGATAAAAAAAAGTTTACATGATTAAATTTTTTTCCCATTAAACTTCATGTTCCAAAATATAACTCTTTTCTGGCTCTTTTAATTCAAATGGATAACTAAAACATAAAGTGAAGTACAACCAGTGGGTCAGGTCTTTATGCCTGAAGCGGGACCTGGGTGGAGGTGAGAGGCGGGGCCGGGACAGTGGTGAGAGCTGGGTCTGGATTGAGGCAAAAAGCAGCCCGTACCTGAGGCAAGAAGCTGGGTCAGGACTGACTGCTTGGTCCACACAACAGATGAGCAATGAGGCTGAGTGAGCTGAAGTGTGTCCTTGCAAGTGTGGGGCCTGGGGTGAGGTGAGCAATGGGGCCCACAGCAAATTAGATGAGCATTTGGGGGAGCCATGAGGTGAGCGGGGTTGGGGAGCAGGTATAGCCAGCCTGTGATGTGAGGACCAGAAAAGGGTGCGCAGTCTCTTTCTGGGGTACACGTCTCAGGTGCTGAGTTAAGTGAGCAGTTCCTGTAGGACCACCTTTCCTCAGCACATCCTGAGATGGACAACGGATTTTGTGGTGCACAACTAGCATCTCAAAGTCCAACTTTACAGGGTCTTGGGAGCAGAGCTGAGTTCTTCAGCAATGAGTGTA